TTTTGTTGGATTCTAGTTATTTTTGAATGTATTTGAGTTCTTAGGTATTTCTTGTTTGCCCTCTGTTGCCCTCTTGTGTCAGTCTCCTTTTCCCTACAGTAGCTCCCTTCTAGACTCCTCTGTCCACACCTGCTCCCAATCTGCTTATTACCCTGGCCTTTGTTTCTCTCTCCTATAATGCACCTCCTGCTCAGTCACTGTTGTTGGTTTGTTGTCATTTTAATGCCCCCCTTGTTGTGAGTATTACTGGTTTTCAGTATTTTCAGATTATGTTTGTGGATTTTTGCTTCTGTTACCCTTTTTGTTATTAAACCTGCAAGAAACCACATCAGATTCAGTCTCTGCTTTTGGGTCCTCTTCAAATGGTGAGATGAAGGCTCTGTTCAAAATCATTGGATGCATCCTCTGAAGGCCAGATTCGAAGGGTGGTAAATATTGGAAGTTCAGCTTAATATAATATAAGTATGAATAGTTCCATGAATAGTTCTGTCTAAAATGAATGAAAATAATTGTTTCAATGGTTATTGAAGCAGATATGTGGCGGGTAATGTTTGATTTATCTAAAGGTTTTTATCTGTTACTGTGTAAATGGGTTTGGCTGTAATTTAAGGACAGATTCTAATATATCTGCAGTGTGCAATTTTTCTTAGCTAAGTATTTTATGTTGTTGAATATAAGAGATTTTGCAGATTAATTTTTTATACATCCATTGTTTAGATTTACTTGTATCTTTCTACTGGTTTTATAAAATAGAATAGAATACAATAGAAAATCTCTTTATTGTCCCACAATGGGGGAATTTACAGCAGCAAAAAATTATAGAAAAAAAAGGTCACACAAATGTGGACCTTAGAAAAATGTATTAGAATAATATTATAGTGAAGAGTTAAAATATAAACATTAAAATACTGTACTGTAAAGTGTTTTAACAGTATAAAACTGGAGAACACCTGGAGAATAAATAACCATTATACAGCTATGGACATTTTTACAGTAATGAATATTTGAAAATAGCAGCAACATCAGAGATAACTGATCAAGGTTTCTATCATTACATTTGCTTTTATTTGTTCTTGCTGCCGGTGGTTGGCACCTTTATTTATGGAGAAAGCCGTTGAATGCTAGACCTGTTTGAATTCACAGTCAAAACTCTTCTGGTCTGTTTATTTTCAAGGACTTCGAAGGACCGAGTCCAGGTAGACCGTGTCCTTGGAGGATGCAGCAAATGAATTTAAATGCAACCGAAGCCTCATGAGGCATTTGAACCGTTTGGCTAATTGCTTCAATAATCCCCACAGTTCCATAAGGCCTCATGTGCACATGTCACCACCTACTGGTGGAGTGAACTACTACAGTTAGTAATATAATTTTGATGCTTGTAACTGTTTGTGCTGTTTTCCTATTCAAGTTCATTTGAAATGTGCTTGTGCAACTTGGGCAATGATGATTAAAATGAAAAGTAGTTATTTTTATTCAACAATAGTAATTTTTCAACATTTTTTGGCTTCAATATAGTCCTTTTTTTAACAAAACTTCACCAGCATTTGAAAACACGTGTTCACAAGGCACTGACGATGCATGCATAAGAAGTCTGTGAAAAATTAGAGTACTGGAGTTTTTTCCACTCCCAATACTTCAATGGATTTTCCCCCAGGGCTTATGTTGGCCTCTGAAAGGTACAGTAATGCTGGACTTCAACAGTGGCATCTGCAGTCACATTTCCTGATTTTCTGGCCTCCATCATGCTTGCATCTAAACGATGCCACAGCATGCTACCTGATGTTAGCAACAGTAATATGCAAAATAAATAACTGGTCACAAAATAAATAATAAATTACCTCCAGTGGTATCATGAGAAGTGGAAGTCTGGGGTGTTTAAAACTCCAGTTGTCCAGTTGTGTATACTATTCTAATAACTTACCATTGCTGGGTAGTTGACTCTTATTCTCATGCAGGGCACGGTAGTGCCTCAGCATGGAGGAGGTGTTGTTATTGTATCCCAACTCCTTGGAACACAATAGGCACTTCACCTATAAATACATGAGTCAATGAAAGTAAACAGCTGATGAAAAAATAGAATGCATCTTAAAAAGGTTAGATTCAATACGTTTATCTTAACTTAGTGAGAGAAATCAGGTTGAAATGGTCCCGCATAGGTGAAATCCTCCTCTTTCTCGCTCGCTCCATACCTATCCTCTCTGCTATCTCCAAACACTCCCTAAACTCCAGACACTCTCCAAACTCTCTCTAAACTCTCTCCAAACTCTATCAAAAAACTCAGGTGACCGCAAATCTCCTACAAACTCCCACATTTTGTCTTAGTAGTGAGGCTGTTTAAATGCCTGTCAAAATTCTTGCTCGGTCTGAACCACCTCCTGAAGCAGTCACGTGGTATCACAGTAGTGAGGCTTTGGATGTCAGGTCTGTTCCCCAGACCTTAATCTGATTGAGTACATTTGGGACATCATGTCTCGATCCATCTACTGTTACATTGCACCACAGAATGTCCATGAGTTGGTGGATGCATTAGTTCAAGTCTGGGAGGAGATCCTTCAGGAGACCATCTGCCACCTCATCAGAAGCATGCACAGACATTGTGGAGAGGTCATACAGCCATTTGGAGGCCACATACAATACCAAGCCTTATTTTGACCCGTTTTAAGGACATTATATCAAAGTTGGTTCTGCCTGTAGTGTGTTTTTCCTCTTCAACTTAGTGTCTGACTCAAAATCCAGGCCTTCATTGGTTATTAAATTTAATTTCCATTGATGATTGATCAATTCATTGTGTGTTTGTTGTCACCGCGCTCAAATTGGGACAGTACAAGAATTCAATGAGAATATTTCTTTAATACAGATCGGGTGTGTAACTTGAGTGTTCCCTTTATTTTATCATTTTTATTTTTAGCAGTGTACTTTATTAGCGGATGTTGTAAAGATTCCTCAGATATTCTGCAAAATTCCAGTTTTATTTGGCAGTGGTGTCTGGTGTCCATTACTGACTTCAGACCTGTTACATTATGTGTGATCTTTGTAATACATTCCTCCAAGAACTGATTGAGTTTTCTTTACAACAATAATGAACTATTGAAATTGCATCATATACAAATTGAATATTTATGCTTTTTTCATTCCTATTCATAGATTAACGAGAGCAGCTCCTTGAAAAAGTAACCTTTAACCTTTTTCTTTAACTTTGGTCAGCAATTGTGCTTGAATTGTGGGAAGTTTTTTTTTTTTCAGGGACATTGACTCCAAAGTCATTGGCTAGCTTTCTCAAAGAAAGATGATTGCTGCCAGGAAGTCTTTGAGACATAGATCCCAAGAAAGCATTTACTTATTTACTTCTTCTTCATACACAATCACAGAATAATTTTTTTTATTAGTATTTGAATTATCTGCCTGTCTCTTTGCTTTGGGGTTTATGAAAGGGTTGTTTTTAGCAGATTGGATCTTTTTTTCTCTTGACCGCAAATGATTAATTTTGCTTTGAATCTAAACATGAAACAGATGTTTCACATCTTTGCCTTGGGAAATACTTTAGATTTTGTATAAACAACATAATTCCACATTTTATTTCATAAAACCTGTGTTTACTCAAATTTATGTTTCTATAACAGGGTTAAAATATGAGCATTTTCCCTCCTCTTCATTTAATGTTTATACTAGTGGTGATATTTCACAGATTGTATTACAATGATTGTATAACAGGATGTACATTTGATGATACCATAGTTAACCCTTTAATGTATGCAGATGAATCAGGAATCTTCTATCCATCTAGTACTGGCCTTCAACAATTATTGAGAGACTGTTGTTGATATGGTTGGGACTTGTATAATCAATACTTTATGAAGAAGAGTAATATTTTTTTTTGAAAGAGGTAATAAAGGCTGGAATGTAGCATATTCTAACATCTCCATCTGGTCCTTTTCCAAATGTTTTTGCTTTGGTTAAATCCTTGGAACAGCACATATCTGATGCATTTTCTAATATGGACATATGTACATAGTGGTACTCTATGTGTGCATGAGTTAATATGCTTAGAGATAGATTTGGTAGGATGCTGATTAGATCATTCTAGGTGTATTGCACTCCATTATAAAGTACCTCTAAAGTAGGGAGGAACAAAAGTTGCCGTAACCTACAATGATGGAAGAATGTTGCTAGGTTAGATGCCAAGATGGAGCAGTGCAAGCAAAATGTGTTGCTCACATTTTGTGTGAGCAAAAATGTGCCGACACAATTTTTTTGCCCCGATACCAATACCCAATATCTGGCTGTGCTGTATTGGCCGATACCAATACCATACAGATACCACCTGTTTGAAATTTATGTGTCTATGTATATGAAGAACTGCATACTACTTGGATGTATAATAATTGCCGTCATGTCTTTGTCAAGCTGCTGCCTACCTTTGTGAAGTAGGAAAAAGACTAATACAAAGTGAATCCAGTAGAACTATTTATTGCCTACCTGAAATGGGTTACAATAGTTTAATAAACTTTTGGCTCTCAAAATGGTATTGGTGCCCTATTTGTTGGTACTCGCTGATACCACCATTTTAGTGCTGGATCGGGGCCCCGTCCAATACTGGTATCAGTGCAAGATTACTCACATTTATGTGAAAGTGGCAAATAAATGTGGCAAATAACTTTAATGTATGCAAAAGAAACTGAGAATTGATAATTGGAAAATTGTTTATACAAAGGGATCTTGTTCTGACCTTTATAATATAAAAACTACCCTTACTGCAGATTTTATAAGAGAAATTACAGTAAAACATCTAAATTGTTTGCAATTTTGAAATCCTTGGACTCTGGTGTCAAAGTTGTGAAAAAGTAACAACCCAATTATATGCTGAAATGTGTTTGAATTAAAATGAGACTGAGTACAATTTCTAGGACACAGATGTTTTTACATATGAATGGGGAATTCTGTTTTAATGGGTTTATTAAAACATGTTTTTTTTTTTTTTTTTCTGTTTTCAATCCAACCAGGATGGGATCCCAGAGAGCTTGAGGGTGAAGGGTGAGTTTCCTACTTTTTTTTCTCTGTGCATGTATACAGTATGTAATGTATGACTCAATTTTACAAGATGCAAGTTGCTTTCTAGTTGAGGTCCCCCCAGGCAATGAGCATCCACTACAAAACCTTGTCTTTTTATGTGAAGCACCATGAAGTATTTATAAATCAAATATTAAAGATGTTGTGCACTTCAAATCCTAAAAGCAGTAACCTCCCAAGCCAGATTGATCATGTGTAGCACTCAAGTCTGATTCTACACATTATTTGTCTGGGACTGTTCCTATCACATCTGTTTTGGGAAAGGAGGAAAATTCAGTAGAAGCTTTTGAGCTGATTAAGTGAAGCTCACATAGTACCCACCTACCAAAGTTTGGTTTTAGCCACTCACTGTAACAAATGAAAAAGTCAACAGATCTCATGAGAGACCACAACAACTTACACTTGTAAAGATTTGGGTGTACCGCTTCCAAAGATGAAATTGTGGAAGAGACCGATGCCATGGTCGGACCAAACAGAGGTAATCACAGCAGTTACATGTACATCCTTCTGTGCTGCTGTATTTGTTTTGGTCCGACTGTGGGATTGTCAGCTCTTGATATTAACACAGCTATATGTCCCACCTTTAACCATAATACTGCATCCTGAGTGGCCAACCTGTTTTGGGTCAGTAATGAACCGTTGAAGCTGGATTTTTATGTGTTTGTGAATGCACAAATACACATGGACAAAACACAAACACACATTAATTTCACAAAAACCAAATCATTTTAGAGTTCCAGTCCCACATGTTATGAAGGTTATTCGAATTAGTGATGTCTGTGGTTTAGTTCAAAATAAGAGAAGTTCTAAATCACTGTTGTGGGTTTTGGAGAAACGTGACATTAATGACAACTGACTTTTGTTCAAAGCTTTTTGGAGAGGTGAAAATGTATACAGCATAGACAAAATGCTCATTAGCTCAAATGATTTAAAATGTTTTGGTATTTCAGTGCTCATACTCAATGCTGTTGGAATGGATCAAAGAATAACTAAAAAATGATCTTACATGCATGAACCATAATACACTAAATGAGGAGCGTTCCTGGTGGTGCTGCCGGAGGTACAGCTGATATAACCTCATCAGATATCGAAAGGCAGATTCTCTCTACAGTTCCTGATAAAGATCATTTTAAAATGCTATTATTGGTACCCTGATGCATAGATCAGGGGTACATCTTAAAGCAAAAGTTTTATCTAAGCTAACCAGTCAATTTTAGACAACAATAACATCTCATGATAATATAGATAAAATCAAAGGTTAATGTATTCAAGTCCAACATCCTCTATGGTTGTGTTCTTTTTTTCCTTTACATCACTCATTCATTTCAAATGAGTTTACTTGTTTATGGTTTGCTTTTCATATCTATCATAAGAAAATAGGTTTTAAACATTTGAAGTTTAGATATTGATAATGAATTAATATTTTATTAGCAGAATGCTGCAGGTTTCAACTTACTATATGAATAGTCAAATAACCCCAAAAGTGTTAAAAATAGACAATATGTTTATATGACAGATCTAAAAATATGTAGTGTACTGACTTAGCGTAAGAAAGTTAAAGAAATTCTATAAAAAATGCAAGAAAAATGAAAACCATCAGTATCCAAAAAAGTTGAAACCCCTTTTACTGTAAAGAGAGAAGCACTTCTCATCTTTGATACTTCCATGATTTATTTACGTTAAGGTAATTCAGGAAGGAGACAGTGTGGGATAAATCCTGGAAGAGATGAGAGGAAGCTTTTTAGAGTGAGATAAATTTTTAGTAAATACTTTCTGGGGATTTATTTGGCATTACTAAACAAGGCCTGGCTCAATATTCCTACTACGTGTATTGAGTGTGGATAAATATTCTGTCACATATTTTTTTAATCGCTCAGTTAAAAACAGAAACATTTACCCCTTATTTATACAGCATCTGCTCCACTCCACCCTGCTGCAAATGCACAGAAAATACACGATTATAATCAATGTGAGCATTTACAGTGTCTCCGCATGGTGTTGTAGGATGGCGGCAAATAGACGGCAGGCCAACAAAATTCAATTTGATTCTACTGTTCCCGCAGCAAGACCACTGTAAATATTTCAAAATCATATCCCACAAACAGGAAATGGAATGATCATAGCATTTGGATTTTCTAAATAGTTTACCAAAGACGGCTATATTTGCTCAATTATGACTTATGTTCAAAGATTCCAAAAAGATCACTAAAGTACATGGAGGAAAAAAGTAGGGTTCCAAAAAATGGGCATGCAACCAGTGATCTAAAGAGATTGTTTGTATGACATGGAGAAAAGGTGCAAACATTTGGTTCCGTCAAATTAGAATTAGTAAATTGGATGTGATACTGTCAGTGTAGGAATGGACGTAAAAAAGAGTTTCTTAGACAACTTTTATTGTCATTTTGTATACAAGAAGAAATTTTCTTTTGTACAGCTCTGAAGATATTTCCATTTCTTAATGAAAAATGTCATGAGAGCTGCACAAAACAAAATTTTGTACTAAGTTACAAGCAACAGAAAAGGAGGTAGCAATGTTAAGGAGGAAATATTTTATGATTATTACTGAACAAATCAACAAAACTGATGATACGATTCAATTCAGTTTATTTACACAGTACCAAATCCCAAAACATTCTGAAGACATAGACATACCAAATGAACAGAGAAGCACTGATCTATAAACCATATTCTATGTTAGAAACGGTAAAGGTAGATGTAGCTCCAAAAGTGGTTGCATCTAGAAAAGACTCTGAGCTCTGTGCCAGTTTTCAGGTCAAAGGGATGAAAAAGAGCACATATAGTTAGGGGGTTGAACTAAAAAAAAACTACAGACTGGTAAAGGTGAATAATGTTTATGGTTGATTTTTAAAAATGGTTTAAAACCAATAAAAAAAAAAAAAAAAAAAAAAAACTGAATTTGTATACCATCAGTTCCTCACAAAATATATCATAACGTATCATTCAGGGAGAAAACGATACCCCTCTTGCCACTCTTTGCCACCTGTAAAGTCCTTTCAACGGCTCTGTGACATTTTTTATTATTCTGGTGCTTGCTCTGGTGGCGGTAAAGTTTAGTTTCGTTTTTTTATAAACAAGCGATAATGTTTAGGTTAAGTCA